GTTATATTCAGAAAGAATAAACCAGTTTTATTAAGTAAGGACTTGTGTCGCTAAAGTTTCGTCGGAACGAAGTTACGGAAAGTTAATTAACGACTGGAGGCGTAACAATACGTTCCTTATAACTTGTACGTAAAATGTCTTTAATGGTTGATTTTGAATCTAATAAATAGTTATTCTTTGCATAAAATAAGTTATTTGCCAAAAACTAAGTCAGATAGCTGTCCAATGGAACACAATACTTACTATATGTGTCGTAAATTCACTGATTTAGACATGACGAAAAAACTCAATACCGCTCTTAAATTTAATCACCAGCAGAAATTAGAGGTTGCTAAAATGCATTTTAAAACTTTCCTTTAATATTGTAAAAAATAATAATAATAAATGAATATTACTAAAGTTAATTTTATTCACCACAGACATACCTTGGTACGTGACATTTAATTTGTGCGCAATTTCAATAATTATTTTACAATAAAAACTTTCAAGTTTAACATCTAAAACCGATGCAGTTGTTCTTAGCTGAATGCACATGCTATCAAAGCTCAGACGTTACTAACTTGTTCCAATCTAAGGGCTGAACACGAAATACCTGTTTCACTGATTCACTTTTCACACAGACATAGCTAGGCCTAATATCTCATAGATAAAAATTGGCCCATTCTTATAGAGATGTATGTTAGGGTTTATTCTCAAATGGACACATTTAAGCTTGTCTCAAATAGAGATTTTATCTTATAATTGAAGTTTTAAAACTCAGCTTAAAATAAAGTATAATAAAACGATGTCATCTAAATATTTCTGTTTTGTTTTCAGGAAAGCGACTTGCTTGAAAAGCTGCTTGGAGAACAGATATGAATCAATCATGTATTGGATGCAATCGTTTTTGCTAAATTTGTTTATTTTACTATTGGTATGCTGTAACTGGTTTTAATAATTATCATTAAATGTCAAGACTGTTAGAGACTTACTTCATGTTCTAATAATTTTCCTGTGTTTACTTTTAGTTTGTTTTCACTTGTCTCAATTTTCCGAGTTCAGTTCTACAATTCTTTTAAATACACTCTGTATGTGTTATACACACATACAATAAAAAAACACCAACCAAGCACAACAGTTTAAATTATTTACTTGGAATGATAATTTGTGACCTTTTCTTTACAGAATATTACACCAATTATCGTTGCAAGTTGATCAACTATTTCGATAAATGCATGCCTATATTATAAATATACAGTATACTTTATACAACACGTTTATCTCATAAATAGGAAAAAATAAATAAAATTTTAATGGAATCGTTGGTTATTCGTCAAATTGCTATAAGAAGCCAGAACAAGATAAATGTTGCAATTAAAAGTACACAAATAAGTAAAGTGATACTAGTTGGATAGATTTTAAAAAGATTTTCAATTCCTACTTTGCTTCATTTACCTATACGGATCGCAATGCCATCCAAAATCGTTTTAAAATTTATCCAACTAGTATCACTTTACTTGGTTGTGCAATTTTTATTGCAACATTTATTTTGTTGTGGATACTTTTTATAGCAATTATACGAATAACGATCCCTACTTTCCGTTACAATTATATATGTTTTGATATTTACTTGTGCAGTTTCATATGTCCATGGAATGGACACAACGTCTATAACTTTCAGTATATCCATATCCCTGATAGCGATAACTTATAAAAGAATTGAAACTACAAATACAAACATATTTATTTTAATCCTTACTTTGGCCTACAGATAAATGTATAAAGCTGCCAAAGTAGGGATTAAATTTTATAAATTTGTGATTGTGGTTTTAATTATTGTTTCATTACTCTTCGTTAGAGGATCCCTACTTCATTTTAAAATTCACAATTTCTAAATTCTCATGTTTATATACTTTTTATGTCATACTTGTCTCGTGTCTAGCCATCGATATGTAGCGCCATCCATTGGGTTGAAGTGGGTTAAAATACATTTAAGTATGTGCACGATATGCTTACCAATTATATTATATCTGTATCGGAATACCTACAGACCAGTCAAGTAAGCTGAGGAAATTTGTAGCGATAGTCCGAGCCGTCTAGGAGCTAGACCCGCTGACGTGATCAGGTAGGTATGTGGTAGACGAAAAAGTTGCTATTTTAGAAAATTTTGAATTGTTATAGCAGAAATGTCAGCGACCTTTTTAGCGCATTATTAGTATATATGTGTGCAAAATTAGTCGTAACCAATACTTTGAATGGTCAGTTTCTCACTTAGGAATTCGATAGGGTGATTTTTCGGAGAGTGAATTATTTAGATTCCTTGTCGACCCCCAATATTAAATACTACCACACTCAAATATTTTTGTCATTTTATGCGTGTCTGTAAGAAATGTAATATTTATTTTCTCAGTGATATTTCAGTGATATTTAATCCAATTTTACAGCAACATTTTCTTCTATAATTTTATTTTATTTTATTTCTTTTCACATTTATACAAACGACTTATAACTATTAAAGAAGCCAATATTTGCTAGCAAATGCAGCATGTCTCCCCCACGCAATCCCAAAATAGCCATCTTTGACATCAGAAAAATCATCAAAACCACAGGAAACAAATTGTCTATATTACTGCTTGGGACCTGCAAGAAGGTATCTTTGTACCAAATCCCATGTAATTTGGTTGAGATACACATGAATAGTTAACCAAATTACAAATTGTGCTCTCCTAGCTGAAAATTGAGCAAAAGGCAGAAATTCCAAAATTGTCTGTATCTCTGTTTGGGACCTGTAAAAAAGTATCTTTGTACCAAATCGCATTTACATTGGCCAAATACGGCGGAGTAATTGTCCAAAACAATTTTGCTTTTCATGGCATTCTAATCCCCTGTAATTACTAAAAATGAGCAGGTCCAACATTTTTTGTTTGTCAATGTGTGTTGCCTGTAGTAAAGTATCTTGGTACCAAATTTCATGTAACTTGGTTGAAACAAGACTAAGTAATTGACCAAAACTTCAGTTATCGTGGGTTTATTTAACATTTTGACACATACCCCTCAAATGGCCAAAAATAGGCATATGTCACATTTATGTATGTATATGCATGGGACCTGTAAAAAAAAAACTCCTAATATTATGCTTTTGTAGCATCTTGACCCCACTATAATTATTAAAAATGTGCAAGTCCACCAATATTCCTTGTCAATGTGTGGGACCTGTACAAAAGTATCTTTGTACCAAATATCATGTTGGTCAAAAATATAATATGGCTGACTAATTGACCAAAACCTCCAAAATAATATTTTTTGTGAGTTCTGCCCCCCCCCTAAACTGTCAATGTGGTGGGCGCAATACAAATTCATACTTGTGCCAATTCCCATCTCATGCTGTAAATATGATCGAACAGGAGCCCAAAATATACATTTTTGGGTTGTTTGACCTTTCACCCCATAAAAACCTTTAGAAGGTCTAAATCAAAAAATTACAAACGTATCTTGGCGTATTAAACCAAGGTATAACCCTACCAACTTTCAAGTCAGTGCATCGAGAAATGACAATCGATTGAAAAGTATTTGGAAAAAGAAAGAGAAAGAAAGAAAGAACAAGAAGAAAAATAGAAAAACAGCATGTCTCTTTGCGGAGACATAATTAAAAAGAAAAGTTACCACTGTGCAGGACAATCCACGCTGGATCTTATTTTCGTTGATGCTTCACGAAAATGTTAATTTTTGTTTATCATCTTCTATATATTTATAATCATAAAGTGACTGACGTTCTTAAATTATATAGCTTTCTCGCAAGAAGTTACGGCTCTACATGCTTTAAAATGAGTTATCTGTTTCTGTCTATTTCTAAAACGTCAACAGTTTTAGAAGTATTTTCTTGAAACTTACAGGAAGCTCTAGTTCCGAAGGCTGTATTGCATCATTGCCTTCAACGACATAGCATATTAGATCAGAAGCAAGATGTTTTCAAGTCCATCTGCAACTAAAAATAACATTATTATATGAAACACATGAAACAATATGTACAGTAGAGAAACTCTCTTAAAATTTACTCGTAAGTAAATATTATTCCATTATGAAACACAAAAAATGCGTAAGCTTAATAAGTAAGCCATTTAATGTTCTTCCACGAGTTAATATTACAGTCTCATCTAATACAATAATAGTTAAGTTCAGTATGTAAGCTATTTTCAAGTCCATCCACAAGTAATATTATTTTTGTATGCAACACAAGTTTTTCAAGACTATTTTGTTAATAAAACAAGTTACCAGTGGTGTGCAGAGGGGGATAGCTGAGTACGCTGAAGCCCCCTGTATTCCTATCCTTATGCCCCAAAAGTGCCACTTTTCTCAATCATAAAAAAGTGTTAATAACTATTAAAAGTTACGCCTAATTTTACACCTTGCTTACTGTGAGTTATTACAGGAGGGGAGGGGTATTTCAACGTTAAAAACTTGCAAGTCTTTAAAGTAAAAAAATAATAATTGTGATATGTTATTAAGTGTTAATACGCAAGAATTCGCTACCTAGGTTTGAATTTTAGACGTGTCTTTAAGACCGATTGAATAGAAATAAAAAGGATCTGTTTGCTTCTTATGGCTTTATATCCTTTGTCATACAAACAGTTTCCAGAGTCTTCTCTAACCCCTTTTCCAAAGTAAGTCTTGCTTTACGAGGCTTAAAAAGTGCCTTTTTTTGTCAATGAGCCCTTTCCGTTTTCATCTTCTCTGCACATTACTGCAAGTTTTCTCTAATTCTCTCTTCCAAACAAAAAAGGCTTGCTTGGAATGCTTGAAAACGGTAAGTGAAAAGCAGAATGGGGCTCGAACCCAGGATCTTTGGCTAACAGGACTCTATCCAACTGAGTTATCCAAGAGCACAAGCCGTCCCTGTTTTCCCTCGCTCACAAAGCTTTTTAGCTATGAGTATGAAACTTCCTACTATGTGCATTGTTGTGGTCAGACAATTTCTGGTTTGATGTATCACCAATCAACTAAACCACAGAAGGCTAATTAGACTCATATATATATATAATGAAATAACATAACATAATGTTTTGGGACGACGTGGGATCTATTGGTCCATCTCGGCTGTTCATCCTCTAAACTGAATTAAAATAATTGAAAAAAACCTTAAAGCCGGTCCTTATCATTCATATACTTATCAAGCTTTTTCTTAAACTCACGTAAATTTACTGCCTTTACAGCATCTGAAGGCAACTGTAACGAATTTATTATTATATATTTATTTTAATATCGACGTTTGTTTAGATTAAACTTATATTTAGAAACATGCATAGATTATTGTGTTAAATATGTATTGCGAAACTCTCGCATTTTCTCTAAAGTTGTAGAAGATTCTCGAGAGTAAGAATCAACAATATATGTGTGTGCGTACGTAAACGCATGCTTTAACGCTAGTATTGTTACGTAAAATTGAAATTTCTAGAAAACCTCTACATGCCTATAAATATAACCAACGCGCCAGAAAAAAAAGAGTATCTATTATTAGTTTGCTATAGTAGGTGTGCTATAAACTTCGAAAGCTATAACTCTGATTGTTATAATCCTTACAATCGGAAAATTTAAGATATTTGACCCGGAGCATTTACAAAGTTCGAACATTAGAAATCATTTAACGTCAGTGGATTCTCATCGGACATTAGTACTTTAACGAAAACATTATTTAACTTCAACGGTGGAAAACTCAGCATGTGTGGCTGGTGAATAATGAAAGATGGAGCTAGCTAGCTTTCCGCGAAGTGATTTATACCTACACCAACTCGTAGTTAACTCGCTCATCGTGAACCTTCGATAAGATATTGAAGAAGTTCCAGACTAGAAAGAAGACTTTATGTTGCTTGTAAGTTTGTAAATTTTTTTATACAAATCACTGTGTGTGTAATAAATATTTGTAATAACTGTTATTGTAAATCGTATTGTTGTTTGTATATTAAAATATATTTGTGTTAAAAAAGAAAACTGTGTGTATCAATCTTGTTGGCAAA